GTCACGACATTCACTATTGTAACTTGAAGACAGCGATCTGTTATCATCTTGTCACGACATTCACTATTGTAACTTGAAGATAGCAATCTGTTATCATCTCGTCAGGACATTCACTATTGTAACTTGAAGACAGCGATCTGTTATAATCTCGTCAGGACATTCACTATTGTAACTTGAAGACAGCGATCTGTTATCATCTTGTCACGACATTCACTATTGTAACTTGAAGACAGCGATCTGTTATCATCTTGTCAGGACATTCACTATTGTAACTTGAAGACAGCGATCTGTTATCATCTCGTCAGGACATTCACTATTGTAACTTGAAGACAGCGATCTGTTATCATCTCGTCAGGACATTCATTATCTAACTTTGTCTTCTGTTAAGGACCTTAAGTATTTCCAAGGCTAATGTACTAGTGTTCCCTTTTTTGTGTTCAATAAACGACATGGATACCAGAAAGGTTTTTTAACATGGCTATCAGAAAGGTTTTTCGAAAGCGATGGAGGAACCCAATCGCAGTGTTCGGGGTAGGAATTTTCGTGGTAGGCTTGTTGTCAAACACTCGTCCATCAGTGAATGGTTGTAGTCACAGCGACACCAATCCAGAACTGATTACTTTAGATCTAAAGACGAGTTATAGACCCACTTACTATTTCCGGGACTTGTTAAGTATTGAAGGAGGCGACGCCAACACCACCAAGCCTCCACCTCAGTTTCCACCAGATTTATTTACGGAAACCCAAAGAAAACATGGTGCCGTAATTTTCCATGTGATTGGACTAGTTTACATGTTTGCCGCCCTGGCTATCGTTTGTGACGAGTTTTTCATACCCGCCCTGGATGTAATTACAGAGAAGCTCAAGATTTCGGAGGATGTTGCCGGAGCAACCTTTATGGCCGCAGGGGGCAGTGCTCCCGAGCTCTTCACCAGTATCATTGGGGTTTTTATCTCTTTTGATGATGTTGGAATTGGAACAATCGTTGGGTCTGCAGTGTTTAATATTCTCTTCGTCATCTCAATGTGCGCCATCTTTAGCAAGTCTGTTCTACAACTCACCTGGTGGCCACTTTTTCGTGATGTTAGTTTCTATTCCATAATTCTGATTATTCTGATCATGTGTTTTCGAGACAATGTTATATACTGGTACGAATCGGTGGTTCTCCTCTTGTGCTATGCCTGCTATGTTACATTCATGAAATTCAACGAACCACTAGAAAAGCTAGTGAAGAAAATCCTCAACAGGAACAAAGTTACCAGAGTGGATAGTAAAGACCATCTGATGCCTAGTGTAAGTAACGGAGATTTTTCTTTATCTAAAGTTACCTTTTCTTTGAGATTATGAATTTCTCAATAACTTTTTTAATGTGGAAATAGATAACTTATTAAGGTACTGACGTAAGAGTGGGTTATTGCAATCCGGTCTCGATTAAAAAGGTTCACTGTGGATTAACTGGTGGGTTAGTGCAATTCGGTCTCAATGAAAAGGATCACTTGGAATCCACTGGTAGGTTATTGCAATCCGGTCTCGATTAAAAAGGTTCACTGTGGATTAACTGGTGGGTTATTGCAATCCGGTCTCGATTAAAAAGGTTCACTGTGGATTAACTGGTGGGTTAGTGCAATTCGGTCTCAATGAAAGGGATCACTTGGAATCCACTGGTAGGTTAGTGCAATCTGGTCTCGATAATAAAGGTTCACTGTGGACTATCTTTTTCAATATATCAAAAAATAAAGGTTTATGATTGCAAATTAAAAACAAAATAGTAAAATCCAATCATGAAAAAGCAGTAAAACTTCTATTGTTCCTTAAAACTCTCTCTCCTTAAACCTCTGGAAGAATCAAAATTAAATTAACTTAGCTCTTGTAAACTGCTCTCCGAAGTACAATTATAACTAACTCTACACGATCTTTTCCAGATAGTTTTATTATTCAGTATTTGAGAACACTGTCCAAAGTAGAAGTTTTTACTGTTCATATGTCACAGTATTTTTACTCATCGATTGTCTAAATGCTTTTCATTATTTTGTTAATTATCTGTTTCGAACACAAATTTCAACCATTATCATAGGTGTCTTAAACATACTTCGAAGTTAACTTGTTAACATTTATATTTTCATAAATCATTCACCGTTCATCTTTAAGTTAATAGCTTTAACAAGCTAAACGTCCTAACAACTTTAACTCATATATATATATATATATATATATATTCTGGTCACAAATGTCCCACCAAACATGCTCGCCCTTTCAGCCGTGGGAACGTTATAATGTGACCGTCAATCCCACTATTCGTTGGTAAAAGAGTAGCCCAAGAGTTGGCGGTGGGTGGTGATGACTAGCTGCCTTTCCTCTAGTCTTACATTGCTAAATTAGGGACGGCTAGCGCAGATAGTCCTCGTGTAGCTTTGCGCGAAATTCAAAACAAACAAACTGTCACAAATCAAATGATAAACATATTTTACTGATTAAATGTTGGACTGAAAAAATATATTTTCAGTATATATTGAACTACATTCTTCAAGGTAATTGACGTACTCATTCATATCCCTTTTTGCCTCCAAAAACGTTACTTTACATGCATATCCATTATTGCCTACCAAAAACGTTACTTGAAATTCATATACATTGTTGCCTGCCAAAAAAGTTACTTTAAATGCACATGTATTATTATCTACCAAAAACCGTTACTTTACATGCATATACATTGTTGCCTACCAAAAATGTTACTTTAAATTCATATACATTGTTGCCTGCCAAAAAAGTTACTTTAAATGCACATGTATTATTATCTACCAAAAACCGTTACTTTACATGCATATACATTATTGCCTACCAAAAACGTTACTTGAAATTCATGTACATTGTTGCCTGCCAAAAAAGTTACTTTAAATTCATATATATTATGTGCCTGCCAAAAAAGTTACTTTAAATTCATACATATTATTCCCTACCAAAAACGTTACTTTAAATGTTTGAAGAAATTTGATATCATGAAAAATATGGTGTGCTGAATTCGAGTAGAAATAAAATTTTTAGATTATTTGTTCCCCAGGAAATTTGATTTATTAAACTAGTAAAACAGTTATATATAAGTTTAATGACGACATATACTGAGAAAGATGTCTGGAAAGTGAAGGCGATAAAATGTTGTTACTAAACGTATGTATAAACACTAGCATATTTACAAACTTATCCACGAATCTTGGATTTATGTGCAGATAAACTTTCTATATCCGAACAATATGCGTCGATACATGGTTTGGTGACATCATTCTCTACAGATCAACAAATCCAATTTTTGTGAAAAACTTGAAGAAACACGAGACGCCACCTTAAACCGAAGGTTAGAATCTCGTGCTCCAATCTTGTAGTTTGCAACACCACAGTTTGGACTAAAGATGATGGATCCTCGCCTGTTGATGTAGTTTGCAACACCACAGTTTTGACTAAAGATGATGGATCCTCGTCTGTTGATGTAGTTTGCAACATCACAGTTTGGACTAAAGATGATGGATCCTCGCCTGTTGATGTAGTTTGCAACACCACAGTTTGGACTAAAGATGATGGATCCTCGCCTGTTGATGTAGTTTGCAACACCACAGTTTGGACTAAAGATGATGGATCCTCGCCTGTTGATGTAGTTTGCAACACCACAGTTTGGACTAAAGATGATCGATCCTCGTCTGTTGAAAATGGCTCAGATCTCATAGGAAGTTTTATATTTCATCAAATTCTTTCACTTTACTTCGAAAAATATACATAATTAATTTAAAGTAAAGCTCTAACAAATATTTTTATACTTCAAACACTTTGATCTGGTATTTCCACAAATAGATAAAAGTCGTCTTGCTTGATAAGGTAATTTCTATATAACGGTTATGGCTTAAAATAAGTTTTATAGAACAATATTCAAGTTGTTATTATTTCCAAAACCGTTGCTAGGCAACGTACTGCTATTTTCTACGACGTGTAGACTGGATCATGGTTTCCGAGGCGACGAAAGTCTATGCGAATTTTATCTATAGAAAATAATGAAATGTAAAACAGGCTACGAAGAAATATGTCATTATGACGAAAACACACACACACACACACACATAAAGTGTGTTTCTTATGAAGAACGATACGATGGTGTTTTGAGGATATGATAACCGGTGTGTTCCGAGAGTATATCCATACTTTGATATTTCCTATAGACCCTTATAGCTGTGGTATTTCCAGTAGAAAAGTTTCCCACATGATAGATAAGTAAAAATGTACTTCATTGCAATGTTGCTGCTTGGAATTGGGAATGGTGTTTTATATTGTTTGACTTGATCCGTTAAGATATTACATCACAGTGTGCGAACGAGTATTCCTCTAGTCTTCAACCAAGATCTACTGGAAGGAAGATACATGAGAACAAAAATATAATACAACCACAAAGGAAACAACACAATGGCAAGTGTTCCGTGCATGTTGAACTGATAAAAACGACCTTTATTCAAAACTCTTATCAGTATGTTAAAATAAAAATCCCTAAATTTAAAAATGGAATTCTCAAGGTTGCTGTTAAGGAACAAAATTCACAAGTTAAAGCTAAAAACAGTAAAAATAAAACTTGCTTCCAGAAAATACAAACTCTAAATTGAACTAAATACAAATTCAATTAAAAGTTAAACTCTCTTTATCGTAGCTATCAAAAATGCAGTAAAAGTAATTCAAGGTTGAGAAAAAAATCCTACAAAACACCACACTTTCAGATTTTGTTATACAAAATTAAAGATCTAAAGTTAATCAAGTTACAAATATATGGAACAATAAAACTGACAAAGACAGGTTTCTACACAAATTAATCTCACGTCTTCTCCACTATCGAGTAATAGGACGTGGCAACCCGTGACTATTATATACTCTGGAGTCAGAGAAGACAACTTTTATTTCCTGAACTTATGTGCTATCTTTCTTGCAAGAAACTCGGTTAGTTGCCAATTAGTGAACTTATGCCCCAAAAAAGGAGAGCTGAAGAGCCTGTTTTATTGACTTTCTGGGTCCAAATAGGAAGCTGAGAAACACAATAATTTAAAAATAATTTACATCTTAGCTAAGGGGTAGGAAACACTTGATACCATCCTCTGTATCACACAGTTCACGTACAAAAAATATTCCATACTTCCAGTGTAGTATCAGAGAAGTTTGTTCATTTTGTTAACGCCACTATTGCACATTTTTTCAATGAAATCTTTATATTGTCAAGGACTTAATATGCACTACTCTCTATCAAAAAAAAAAAACACTTTTTAACTAGTACTTTATCTAAGTGTAATGTTTATATTAATACAGCCTGCCAGTTTTTATCGTTACTGCTTTCAAGATCAATACTTGATATTGTTACCAACTTCAACCATGCGTAATGTTTTGTATTACTTAAGCCTCAAAGTAAAAGTGTACTACATTGCAATGTTGCTGCTTGGAATTGGGAATGGTGTTTTTTTTTTTTATTGTTTAGCTCCTAAAAGCAGTGCTTCATATTGTGATCAACTGTACTGTTTCCGCTTGAGAGCACACTGCTAATATCTTAATGGATGAAATATTACATCTTGTCGATGTGTAGATACAGAAATCTGAACACAATAACTCTACCTCATATTTGATCCCCCAACATTTTGAGGGTATCCTCAATACCTTAGTTATCTACATATACCTATAGTCTGAAGTTGGGGTTAAATATGTAAAACATATTTTCGTTATTCCAATGTGACATCATTAAACATTGTGCCAAGAGTTACAGTTTCTCAATATATCCCATAATAATAAATTACAATTGCGCAATATGGTTAGAAATCCAACCTTGGTGGCTGACAATGGAATATACACGTAGGACACTGTTAATACAACACACTAACGTGTTAATAGTATTCTTCCAGATTATAGGTCACTCTTTGATGACTTTCCATGTCTAGAGGTTCTTCCAGGTTATAGGTCACTCTATGATGATTGTCCATGTCTAGAGGTTCTTCCAGGTTATAGGTCACTCTTTGATGACTGTCCATTTTTTATTTAAATGTTTTGTCGATTTCCAATGATTCTAACTGTAATAATAACTTTACAATAACAAAGTTCACAGAATACCAGACTTGTTTTGTTTACTAGTTATAAGCGATGTTGGTTTCATAACTTCAAGTGCGAGAAACTGTATGCTTAGTTTTTCTTTTCAATATGAAATACAGTACGGTTAAAAGTCTCATAATACATCGTGACTGGACGTGACTAGCTATTTGTGACTATCTTTTATTTTATTGATAGGTCGATAAAGTCGTAGGTCGTGACTTCCACGTCCATAATGTTACGAACTAGAACAT